TTTTTTTCCTGCCCATTTTTTGTCTACGTGGTATTGTTTGATTTATATTAAGTACTTTTGAAAGTTTTTTTAATTTGTAACGGTAACTCAATGATTTGTAAGCTAAATAAAAATTTAATTTACTCTTTTTGAAAAAAAAAATATCAGTTAAGATTTAAATTAGATTTGTCAATAAATTATACATTTATGTCAGTATTATGTTATTACTATTTTAATGGGCTATAAAATCTATATTGTTTTTTTATCAAATTTGTAACGGTTGTCAAATCATTGTAATGGATTTTAAATATATTTTTTATTAATCTATTTAATAAAATATTTAATTACTGGTTAATCTATTTAATAAAACATTTAATAAAATCTCATTTCGATTTTCCGTCAAAAACCGTTACAAACTTTATCATTTATATATCTCTCTATATTTAATTACTAACATTAAATTTAATAATATTAATTGTTGTTTACCATCTTTTTATGTTACAATCTTCTATTATTATTATTATTATTATTATTATTATTATTATTATTATTATTATTATCATTATTATTATTAATCTACCATATCTAATTAATGCTAAAATATTTCATTGCACTTTTTTTAGGGTCAATTAAAACAAAAACCGTTACATTTTATATTAATTGAGTAATACTTATACTATTTTATTAGTATCATATAATAGTTATTATTAAAACTAATAACTATAGTTTACACTAATGGCATGATTGGTATGATGGAATACAATTTTGTAGAAATAGAATGAATTGAAGAATGAAATGATTATGAGAATGGAATGAAACATGTTTTGTTTGATATTCAGAAATAATATGACTGGAATGGAATGACATTATTATTTTTTATTATAAAAATAAATAAAAGCCTTTTTTAAAAAATAATATACTTCTAATAAATTATATATGTTGACATCCGAATTTGCCCCCAAAGGAAACCGGACAAAGGCAACCTCGAGAGCCGGACCGGGGACCCGGCCGAGCGCATAGGTGCCGAGCTGGGCTCCGAAACTTTTTGACCCTGACATCCCCACGAATCCGTCCGTTAGCCCGGCGTTTGCGACAGTTAAGTTCCGGTGCCGGACTGACGAGTGACGACCTGGAGGAAGGCTCCCCGGAACTGGAGGAGCAAAAAGGGAAAAGGTGCCGACCTGGGGTCTCAGAACGGGCCTCCAATGAGGAATGCCGATCTCGATAATAGTATAATAATGCCACTTGGAGAGTAATCATTGGTTATTGGACGGGGCATCCTAGCCTGCTTACCTACCTCCTCTAGCCAAGACATAAAGCCTGCCAGCATTAAATGATCTCCATGTGTGCATTAAATGCCTGCCAGGCAATGATGAGGAAAACCTCAAATCGCATTGAATTCTGTCAGGGAGGCGCCGGACTGCTCTGCAAGGACACTGTACGACAAGACTGGTGAACAGTACCTGAACAGTGTCACATTTAAAGCCATTATAAATAGCAGCTCACTTCATTTAATTTGGGTTGTTGAATCCCAACTATCTGAACTCTCTCTACTTTCTCTCTCTAGACTCGTGTAAAAACTGTCTAAGAATCTGTAAGTATATCGCAAGTGCCGACCTCGTACGAGAGGCCGACCTCGTGATCTTTTAATAAAATCATAATTAAACCATATTTCTTTGTCTTTTCCCTATCACTTTTTTATTACTTATCTTTTTAACCGTTGACCGGAAACGTCCGTCAACAGTTTGGCGCTAGAAGGAGGGCCCCATAAGTTACTTGGTGTCAATTTTTCGATCTTGTGAAGCTCCACTCCGCACTCATCTTTTTCCACTTTTTCCACTTCCAAAAACTTCTCAAAATGCCTTCATCCGGCCATGATGATTCCACCCAGCAGTCCGGCTCCCAGCCTCGTGGACGCAACGGCGGGGAGACCTCCCGTCGTGCTCAGCAGGGACCCATAGTCCCTATTCCACCAGTTCCTACCTTTGCTGCGGCCTTGCAGCACCCCGATGTCCTCAAAGCCCTCGATGGGGTCTTCGACAAGGCCCTCGCCAGCCAGACAGCCGGGGCAAACACCGTGGTGCCCACGGAAAACCCCGGCAATACCCTGCTCCACACTCCCGAGAAGTAGGCCGGGGGGCAAAGGAACCCGACGAAATCCAAAACCACGGCTCAGTCACCGAACCACGAAGCCCAGAACCGCCATGACAAAAGCACCAGACTAGCTCCTACCGAGCAGACGGGGGAGAGCCGCCCGGAGCGAAGCCTCCAGGTCGTCCGCCGCTCTGTCCACCAACGCTTAGGTGACAAGAGCCAAGCCAACCGTGACCTCCGGGAGGTGATTAGGCGGAGCAAAGCCATATCGCACGACACTGAGGAAGTCGCGGCCCTCAAACGCAGAATCGCCGAACTGGAAGGTCGACAGCCCTCCGGGAGTGAGCTGTCACTCCCAGCCTATCCGTAGCCTTGCATACGATCCACTCCCCGAGTCGTAGACAACGCCTCACCTCTTTCCCCCGATATCCTACAGGAGGCCGTCCCGAAGAAGATCAAAGTACCCCAGCTCGGCCTCTATAATGGGAGCTCGGACCCGGACTCCCACATTGGCCTCTACACTTCGTGGATGGACCTGCATAGTGCCTCTGACGCCCTACGTTGTCGCATGTTCTCCTTGACACTGGGGCCGAAGGCGCAGAGGTGGTATCACTCCCTTTACCCCCACTCCATCTCCACCTGGGCCCAGCTCAGGTCGGCGTTCCGGTCACACTTCATCGGGTCGCAGGTCAATCTAGCCCCCAAGGAATCCATCTCCAACATTGTTCAGGGCGAGAACGAGAGCATGAAGGACTACATCGCTCGGTTCAATGACTGAGTCCAAAATATGGAGCGGTGCCATCCCGACGCCCTGCTGATCACTGCTCAGGGTGGTCTGAGACCGAAAACGCTGTTTAAGTGGTCCCTGTGTCAGAATAAGCCGACTACCTACCAGGAATTCCTCGCTCGCGCTCAGGATTACATAATGGCGGAGGAGTCCTCGTCCATCCCAACGTTTCATACCGCGTCGGTGCCAGCAAAGGCGAAGGTGAAGGAAGAAAAATCGGGGAAGCCGAGCAAGTCATTCGCTAAAATCCGAGCACAGCGAAAACAAAGGGTTGAGGAGCTGAAGGAAAGCTACCAAAGCGTCTTCTCGGTGGGAGCCGCAGCAGTTTACGAGGAGATCAAAGCTAAGGGGCTGCTGCCGGACCCCAAGCCCATGTTCACTGACAAGGATAAGGTGGATAAGACCCGCTACTACACCTACCACAAGGCGCACGGGCATAACACCGACCAGTGCCGAAATCTAATCTCGGCATTGCTCAAACTCATCGATGATCCCCAACTCCGGAGGTTCACCCACTCCGGAGAAAAGAGGAAGAAGGGAGGCCGCTTCAAGGAAGGCCCCGAAAGTGACGAGGATGCCGACGTGAATCCTCGAAGGAAGAAGCCACAGCAGGGTGGCCCCCACGAAATCATGACTTTCTGCCCCACCCACCAAGACGAGGTCGGCACCTCTAGGGGCAGAAGGAGAGACCGGTCCCCACGCACCGGGGCCGATCCGGCCGACTACCCAACCCGTCGCGTCAACACAAGCCGGAGCGAGTCCCTCCTCTCCAGGAGGCAAACCAAGGCCTATGTCCGTCAGGCCTACCATGCCGGGCAGAGGGTGATGCACGCCGACCACAGGCCGGCGCCGGAGCCGACTCCAAACACCATCTCCTTCACCGACGAAGAAGCCTTCCTGTTTGATCACCCCCATTCTGACGTCCTGGTGATCACGGCGCCGATCATGGCGATAAAGATCCATCGCATCATGGTCGATATCGGGGCCTACGCAAGCATCCTGTATTACGATACATTCAAGAAGATGGGGATCGACAAGAAGGAGGTGCAGCCCTGCCGTGAGCGGATCCAGGGTTTCAATGGGCAGACCATCGCCCCTGTCGGCCAAGTCACGCTGCCGATCCGATTCGGGGAGAGGGGGCAGCCCACGAAGACAATCTTAGAAACTTTCAAAATCGTGGACTGCCCAAGTGAATACAACGCCATTCTGGGGAGGACGGCTCTCTACAAGCTGAAGGCCGCCGTCTCCATATTTCATTACTCCTTCAAGTTCCTAACTTCCGATGGAGAAGGGACCCACCGAGGGGATCAGAGAAAGGCGCGGGAGTGCATTCTAACCATCCCGCGCACTGAGATAAATACGGCAGACCTTCTGGCCGACGCCGAGGTGACAGACATCGGGTCGGCAGACATCGGGTCGGCACGCAATGGTCTTAGGGGCAACCGCATGCTGGGAAACCAGACAGGTTCGCACCCATTGACCTCGCCGAGT